TAAAAATATAAAACTATATAATAAATATATATAAATAAAAATTGAAATGCAGAAGTAGTCACAAAAGAACAAGATGTTTTCAGCAAGGTCTTACACCATCATTGCTCTCAAGATCAATTAAAAATAGAAGAGGCAGTTTGTTCTGCACCTGTACACTTAGGGAAGGCAACAGGGAAGGGGAGAATTACCCGAGTTGTCAGTAGGGTCAATCTGCTCTAATCAACAAAAGGATCACCTTGGCTGGCCAAAACTAAGCAAAACCTTTTCCTCCCCTCAGTGTACAGCTAGTTATATACTTTCATCATGTCCTGAAGGAATTGCAACTTAAGTTTTAGAACAATTCCTGTAACATCTAATCCAGAAAAAAACTTTTAAGTAAAATACGAAGTAGGTCATATTTTCCCAAGCAACTTTTCTAAATGCTTTTCCATGGGAATAACCAAAAACCCAAACAGAAGATGACACCTAAAGGACAGAAAAAACAGAATACCAGCTAACTGTGCAATTTTCTGCTTGGCCGCGAGCAAGGTCTTCCTAGTTTTCTCTTCCTTCTCAGTGATCTGTTGCCTGAGCTGTTCTTCCTGTGTAGTCTTCTCTTGCAGATCTTGATGAAAACGAGCAAGTTCTGACTGTAGCTGCGTTATCTGCTCCTGAAGATTTCTAACTTCAGTTTCCTTTTCTGCTATAGTCTAGAGAGGAGGAGAGAGAGAGAGAGTTGGCCATAACCAGCTACTTTGGCAAATATATAGTCTAACTAGCTCCAAGGACCTACTATTAGCTGGCCATTGTATTAAGGTTAAAAAGCTTCTAATCAACCATAGACGAGTCCAGTCCTCTCTGAATGCAATAGCTGAGAGAATAACATTCTCCTTCCCACTCATTTATTCCAAGAAACAGCAGATGTGTGCACACACAGAGAAAGACACCCTCACGTTCTTCACAGTCACATATTTAAGACTGCGGCAGAGCACAGCACTCTGAAATTGTTCACTGTTCTTACCTTGTTCACTCTGTTCTTACCTTTTGTAAACTTTCAACCTGAGTCTCCAAAGCCTTTGTTTTCACTTCAGCTTGACTGAGAGTATCTTTCAGCTCTTGTACTTCCTGGACAGAAACTTGTTCTTCTTGCTGTTCTACAAAAGACTGAGTTGATGCTTCGGCAACCATCTGAAATATGCCAAGCGGTATCAAGCTAAAGGGTACTTTCTGATTAACATGTCATTACTTTCACAAGTTGCTTCTGCGTGCAAAGTGATCGTTTAAAAAGTTCTAGGCAAACCCCAGGAATTCTAATGAACTCTGAAGTTCTGTAAGAATGCTGTAAAGTGTGAAGTGATATGCAGCTCATGCCTTCTGGCAGTTAGAGCTGACAACAGAATAAACGATGCAATTTTCTCCTTTTCTCTTCACAGGTAAGTACTCATATAGTATTATACTTGGGGAACACGACGACCATTAGCTAGATCATACATGACTCCAGATAAAACCATACACCTTTTATAGCATTTCTTTGCAAACAAAGAAAAAGCGTATCTACCTTATCATGTTGTGCTTTCAGCTCCTCATATTGAGTCTTGTACCTGCGCCCAATTTTCTTGACCTGCGTTATGGTTTTCACTTTTTCTTGTATGTCAGCCACTTTAGCATCTAGTTCTTTCTGCAAAGTATCCTTTTCTGTTCTTATTTTAGTTACTTCATCCTTCAGGCTCTGAACAAGATTCTGGCTTGTAGTCAAAGATGCATTTGTTCTAAATAACAAGAGATTGGAGGAAGATGCACATGAGATGTTTGAAAGAGTTAATACATTTCAATATTGCTCATTTATGTAAAATCACAGGCATTATCTGTAGTGAATTATGTTTTCTAGGATTTTGCAATACAAATGGGTGTTTGTAGAATATAAATTATTCTACAATACATTAATTTACGATAAGTTCAGCTAAAAGACAGCTTCCAAAACAACTCTCACTTCGTTTTACCTGTGTATTATCAAGCTACAGTAAGAATACCAAAGGTTCCATAGTTGCATGGAGACAGTTAAGAAATTACACTTTCAGATACAGCTTTATTTAAAATATTTTGCTTCACACAAAACTTTTTACTAATTGACTTATACTGCACCTGGCTATTTCTGCTTTAAGCCTGCCTGTTTCTTCATTCATTTGTTGTATACGCTTGGTGTTTGCCTCCTTCTCTGAAAGCAGCTTCCGATACTCTTCAAGATCGGTGTCCTTCTGTTGACTCAATAAATGCTGAAAGGTTGAGAAAATAAGTCTGCGTTTTCCTAAGATGATTATACAGTTACATCCAGAAAATCTCTTTGAATTAGAGCTACTGCTTTTCCATTTTGATTCAGAATGCCTATGAATTAGAACAGCCCATTTTGAAGCTGCATAAACAATGCTTTATAGTTCAAGTACATTTCTTTTGTTGTCATTTAAAAAAAAATTTAGAACTTTTTTTAGGTCTTTCCCCCCCAACATCTTCTTTGAAAACACACATTCCCCACCTGAGTCCGGGCTTTCCAGCGTTTAACATCTTCTTCCAACAGCTTCTTCTCTGCCTGCAACATTCCACTTTTCTCACTCAGTTCAGCATTAGACTCTTGCAGAGGTAGAATGTCTGCCTCAAGCTTGCGTACCTGCAAAAACACAACCGTGGATCAAACTCTCCGGATCTTATGAGACTGAAGGGAATGGAATATGGTAGGCCTTGAACAATGATGGTAAGAGGGACAGAGAGCAAAACCAGCACCCTCAAGAAGTCATGATACAGCTGCTTTCCCAGCTCTCTGCCTTCCAGTGGCCAGCTGGGGCAAGGAGAGGGATGAGGAGCAAGAGCTGGGGATGAGACTACAGAGAGAGAAAAAAAAAAAAGAATACAGACACGACTTCACAATCTTAGATTCTCACTCTTTGTACACTGGTGCAGGAAACAGATTATTAATTACATGTTAGAAGTCACTGGCGTGCAGAGATGGAAAGAAACATGTATCTCCCTCTTCAAATCTTAATAAAGCTGTGGTTGGCTTTATATGTATTCCTGTGCCATTGTTCATTTATCTGCTAATACCCTTGTTACTGGTATACCTCTAGCGAAATGCCGATTTTCAGTCTCATTTAAATGAAACTGAACTTCAAACTTTGTGATATGCTAGGCAGACCAGTGTCTTTTAAAAGTCTAAAGGGAAAGACTCCTCGTTTGTGTATGACATAAAGGAATAATCACAATCTAAATCATATATTTAGTGTAATTAGCAACGGTATATCCAGACGCTAACTCATCAGCTTGAACATCTGAAAAATTTACATGAATCTCAGTACTAACCTTGGCTTGAATTTGTTGCAGCTCTTGTTCTAGCCTCTCCTTCTCTTCTCTTAGCATCTTGTTGGTTTCTATCAGTACGTTCATGGTCTCAGTTTTTTTCATCAATTCTTCATGCTGTGCAATGGTTTTTGCTGTTACCTTTTGAAAAGATTTAACTCAGTCATTTGTTTTGCTTGCACGTGCATATATATTTACCTGGATCTGGCATAATGAATCTTGGAAAGCTATCATGGCATTCATTATGTCACGTATACACTCAAAAGAAGTAAATATGACTTAAGAAATGGGGGGGGGGGGGGGGGGGAATTGAGACATACTATCTTTGTTTTCCCTGTTTATGGGATTCTGGAATTGCCATGCTGCTTCATGGGACTCAGAACAAGATCTTTAATTTGGCTGTACAGCAACCTCAGGTTAAAAGCTGCCAAGTCTTCCAAAACTTCATTTTTGGGCACAAGCAGCAAGAGACAAAGAGTAGAACATAGAGAACAGCCCTCTCTATTGAAATGATAAGCAATAATATCCAACCATACCTGCACCTTCTCTCTCTCAGCATTGAGACTGTCTTGCAGTTCCTGGAGTTCCCTTTCCAGGTGCTCCACTCTCTGACGGTAACGCAAACTCTCCACCTGGGCCACCTCAAATCTAGTTTCTGCAATCTCCTTTTCTCGACGTATAAATCTGCAATAGGAAAATGAACACCGCACCATGTCAACGAAAAAGCAAGATTTTAAGTGGAAGCATCTTGTATCTGAAGGTCTACTCAGTACAGAGATTGGTTCAGAAAGATCAAAAAGAAAATCCTAGATAAAAATCCTTGAAAATCTACATAACTCCCTAAAAACCACAATGAGAAAAAAAAAAATCGCCTCTATGAAACTTTCTGCTAAACGCATTTGCTAAAACCTGATTTAGCTTCCTGTTGTAATTGACTTATAGTTTTTTTCCTAAGAGTAGAAAGAAATCTCCTCTATTAGTTACTGATGTAGAACCACCACCTCCTATCTAGCAAAAAATCACTTACATTTTATACATTATCCTTCAAATGCAACTTAATACAGAACTACGTAATTTGGCAACTGAATTTATAACCACCGAGAGAAGGATCCTAGAGCTAAATTTACCTAAGAATTTCTAAGATTTGTTCCTGGGATTTGCCTTCCTCATTGAGAGAAACGTTCACTGCAGTTGGCATGGCTTCTTTCATAGAAGTCACCATCTTATCACTCAGACTTTCCAGCTGTTCATGTAATAATCGATTTTGTTTTTCCAAGTCTTCACAGCGGGATGCAAGTTTTGAAGCTTCATCCTACAACAAAATCATTCAATGACTGAATTCTGTGAAGGCTGGTAACTGAAAAAACCCCACTGAAACCACAGAAACAATCATACCTTGATCATTCTCTCTCTCTCTTCCCAGGAAGCTCTGCACTCCAACAATTCAGACTCAGCTTTCTGAGCAGCTTCCTCTAGCTGCTGCCTTACCGCTGTATTCTTGGCAACTTGTTCTTTAATAGCCTGTAATGCTTCAACATCGGCAGCATGGAGCATTAATTCCCTTTCATATTTATTTTGAGCTTCAGAAGCCATCTTTGCCTGCACAAAAAAAAAAAAAAAAAAAAAATTGTTACCTTTAACGTTACATCTTTGGTATGTACAATCATTTTAAATAATTTTCTTTGAGTAGCTAGAAGGAGGATGCACTCTTTACAGTTACTCCACAATCAAACCTCTTGCTGTAGATGCTGCACGGATAACGGGCACGTATTAGTCTAAGAACATCCAATGGTTACTTCTGCATGTGAAAGGGCAAAGATACTTGCTGCATGAGGTTAAAAAAAAGCTAAGGGCAGACTATGGTCATAGTATTAGCTGAAAAAATTGGAAATGCCTCTCTACTAAATTTTGGGTTGGATTAAACAACAGCCAGAAGTTTTTCTACACCCTTTACACCAGTCAGTGTTGCTGGAATTATCACCTGCAGAAAAGTAGATTCCCTTTAAATAACGGCTGGTAAAAAGACAATCTTATCAGGTGCTGCTAAATCAATTCCCCCAATCAATTTTTTTTTTTTTCATAATGAAACAGACCTTTATATTCAGTCAGTTTAGTTGATATTACCACAATGTTTGATCAGGCAGAAGAATGAAGCAGTACATAAGCAGCTATTCACAAAATGGAGAAAGTGCTCTTACAGCCCCTTCCTTGCCTCCAGAAATCTCTGATCAGCAGAGACCTTTAAAAAGCATTTTGAGTTCAACTGAAAAATAATGTAAAACTAACATTAAGTTTACTATCTCTGGCTAAAATAGGCAAATACTACAAACATACTTGCTCCTGGCAGTCACGTCTGGCTTGTTGTTCGTTATTCAGAGCTGTGCTGGCTCTCTGAAGAGCTTCCTGAACTTCTGATTGCACGGTTGACAGACTCTTCTTTAGTTCTGATAGCTGTAGGGATGGGGAGGAAGGGAACAACAAAAAAACCAAGAACAAAACCAAGACTGAATGGCAAATCACAGAGTATTGAACACAGCAAGGCTCTGAACGCAGACATCATGAATAATCTAGAACCAAAGGTGGTAATTTTATTGTATTTTTCAAAAAAATACTCATTTTAATCTAAAGAGAAATTCTTCCAAGATTTTGACTTATTAATATACAGAGTTCTTCCTGGTAAAAACGTATTACTGTTCTTTCAGAGCCAGGCCTGGAGTAATTCTAGTTGCAGTCATCTGGTTTCTTTCAACTTCAATAAGAGCCCAAATATAAACCAGACAAATAAGGGCATAGACCACTCTGGTTTTAAAATACACATATACTACAAATTTGGTTTTGGCTCATGTTCCAAAAAGGGTTGTCCAAAAACCCTTCTCAAAGGCTTTTACTTTTGTTTTTCTGCAAACAGCGCTCAAAGTTCAGGAAGATAGGGACAGCTTTAAATACACAATCACCCTAACAAAGCGCCAGGGTTAATGTACTACTCATGTTTGGAAACCTCTCAAATTTAGTTAGCCTTTTGTACATGCTAAAGGACTTAATTTTGGACACTACTACACTGTGAAAACAAACTGAAGTTGAGGGAATTATATAAAAGCACATTCTTGTGGACTTTCTGCGAGGGAGTTTAAGGGAGGGGGCATTCAGCACATACCTGTTGTTCCATACTCTCCACAGCCTTACGCTTCTCCTCTTGCAGTTCTTGCTTTTCTTTCTCTGACTCCATCAGCTTCTTTTCCAGCTGTGCTTGATACTCTGAAGATTCCTTCAGACGAGCTTCAACTGTTGCACGAACTTCCTCTGTCACCTTCATTAAAATCCATCATAAAAGATCAATTTTTTTCCCTTTAAATAAGGTATTCTGATGTGAAACCAGTATTTTATTAACAATTTAGAGCCAGAATAGATATTCTGAGCACCTCACTTAGAACACTGAAAATGTGGAAAATCACAAATAGCATTGATGTTTAATTTTTTTTTTTTTTAATTTCCCTTCAAAGCTGCAATACCATGTGAAGTCCATCTAAGAACAGTTTTAGGTGACTGCGCTCAAGAATGCAGCAGCCAGCGTATCTTTTTTATCATGCAGTGAAGTCTGCAGTACTGTTAAAGCACATCAAGCCACAATGAAGTTTTTACAGTAAGAGAACCACAGAGTGTTCTCTTGCACCACTGAAGACCTTACTGATGCAGAAGGTGTGAATGTAACTGCTTTTGATTGAGAGCTGATTAATATTTTTAATCATTGGTCACAGGGTTATAAGGAAGTTTTTTTTAAATCAATTCCCCTCTTTCAAACGAAGACATAGGCAGAGTACAGCTTTGAGTCAAATTTACAATTCAACATTTTAAAAATATGCTGCAAAAAGGTTTAATATTTCCACGATTAAGTGTTTTTAATAAAACTTGTTTAAAGTGTGGTCTTACTACATTATATTCTAATGCCTTCTAAACTAACTTCAGGTTTTTTTGTAATTCCTCCCATAATCCTACAGACTGGACTGCAGCACAAAAACCCCCCGACATCTTTAATTTTGTTTTTGCTCTAATAAACAATGGTAACTACTTACTTGTTTTTCCTTATTAAGGGATTCCTCTAGACTAAGAACCATGGCCCTGTACTGTTCCACATTACTAGAACTAGTCTTGAGTCTTTCTCTCAGGTCATTAACTTGCTCGTCAGCTTGTCTTAGTCGACTTACAAGATCGTCCACGTCTTCATTTGTACTAGGCTGACCTACAATATTAAAACACATTCATTAACCAATGAAGCTTAACTCAGTTTTTTAAACCACTGTTCTGTTGAAAACTGAAGTCTTTTTAGGATAACAAAATGGAAAAAACAATCACTCTCACAAAGCTTCCCTAAATTAAATTGTCAGCCCTAACCCAAATAGCAGCTTACAATAAACATTGTTGATTCAGACAAAAAAAATAGACTATTTTTAAAAATAAGTAACTTAATAGACTTAAGTTCTTTTGAATAAAAATAAAAGGGATCCTTTATTAACTTCTGCTTTATTCTTCCCCTTTGTCTAAGACTGCTTGGACATTAAATTTGCTTTAACAAATCATCCTGGTTATCATTTGTTTGAATGCGATTGTAATAATGAAGAGGTTTATTATTTAGTGTACTGTCCTCCTAATTCTAAGTTATTTTGAATTATCAATTTTATCACTCTGTAGGCAGCAGCATTTAACATAAAGATAAATTCAATGTAGAAAAACATCTTACCTTTCCCTAGAGCCCTCTGTGATGACTGAGATGCTAGCTGAGCCTCCGTATTGTTAAGCTGCTGTTTCAACATCACAGTTTCTTTCTGGGCATTCTTTAAAAGTTCCTTTGTATTAATGTGACGGTTTGTCTCAGTCTCGAGTTGTCTCTTAAGATCCAGGATATGAACCTGAAAACACAAGGTTCTTCAACTTGTAATTATTCACAAACAGCATTAAGACCAAACACGGTTATAAATTCCACATATGAAAACCAATGCACTGTGAGCTGGCAGAAGCTGCGCAACTGTGGCTTTGCTTTCACTAAAACCAGTTTAGCATATTTATAATTACACTCACCTCTTGATTTTTGGTAAGGGAATGTCTTTGTTCCACCTCATTTTCTAGTTTCTTCTTTAGCTGAGAGATCTCACGCTCTAGCTTTTCGATCTGATTATTGAGTCTTTGCTTTGTTTCTGTCTCAGACCTCTCCAGTATTCCCTGATAAAAGAACATAATGCACAATGCTTACAATACACTTCAATAGTTTTCTTCTGAATTACAGCAGCACTTCATACAAAGTTGTCACAACACTTCTCCAATCCACAAAATAATTACTGCAGGGAACAAGCACTAATAGCTAGGTACAGAAAATGATGAAAAAAAAAGTAGCACTTCCAACGTATGACTTAGTTTTGAAAGATTTTTTTAATAATATTGCTACAATAAGTACTATTAGAAGAAAATCTTCTAATTCCAGGGATTAAACCCCCCCCCCAAAAGATCTACTATAGAAACAGAATTCAGTGACATGACAAAATTTGCAACCCTAAATATTTATACTCTAAGAATCAATATACCTTATTATAGAAGATATAGAAGATATAAAAGTAAGTACACCTTAAAACAACAGGAAAATAAAAGTACCAAAGCAGTCACTGGTAAATTTTGCTATCATAAAAATTAACATATAGATTTTTTTCCTTTCACTTTGTCTCATGTGTTTTGTTTCCATTTTATTGTGAAAATCCTTCTCGTCAACTCAAAATTCTCAGGATCTTGCCCAGGTAAACAACAGAGCATCATAATTCAGGACAGGAATAACATACTTGCTTAAACAAGTGCCTCGAGTATTTTATGTTCAGTGTCATTTTGTAATAGGAAAAAAAAAATCCACTTTAAGACCCAATCCCATGACTGCTGAAGTTGATTTCAATGGGTATTTATTGAAAACTCTGAAAGACGGACCAGAAGTGGACATAAGAACAATAACACATACCTGAATAGTTCGCAAATTAGTAAGCAGCAAGTTCTGTCCTCTCTGTTCAACTAATAAAGACTCACGTTGCTGAGTCAAACGCACATCTGACATCTTCAGGATATCTTTCTCTTTTTTTAAGTTTTCTGCTCTCACCTTTAAGACAGCAAATAATAGCAAGAACTCTGTTATCAATCCCAAATCTGCCCATTAATTTTAGTTTGGACAACATTATTTTTAATGATCAGTTAATTCTATTTTTAAAAAAAGCTTTCAAGATAATCATGAGAAAACCCCTTGTGCTAACTTGGAGTATCTGCGAGTACAATACACTGTATTACTAACCTCTGCCACTGCCAGTTTTTCATTAGCTCCCCTGAGGTCTTGAGTCATTGTGTTAATTATCTGCTCTTGCTTCTGAGTTGTTGCTGTGAGTTTCTGGGTTCTTTCATGCAGAGATGTTATTTCTCGACGATAGCCTTCAACGTTATCCTGTAGCATTTCATAACTTCACGTGGAACAACAAAGCAAAGTATATGTTTGCCACAGTAAATCGTTTAATTGCAAGAGGTGTATGTACACAGCTATATGTTTCATGTTCCTGTGTGCCAGTTCTCACACACGTGGCTCACTCAACTAGAAGGTATATTCTTGATCTCACCGTCACTATTTCCTTTGTGTTCTTTAACAGAATAGACAATGTTAATGTTGAACTGGCAACTCTTCTGGAGCAAACAATACCAAGCAGTCAACGTGATAGCACTGACAGAGAACACATACATAAGGCAACAGAATTAAATAGCTGATTTACCGTTTGGAGGCGAACTCCAGCTGCGTGGATATCTTTGCATTTTGTGACCTCAAGTCTGTGACCTGCTCCTGAAGCTTTTCATTTTGTTCGTTCAGCAGCTTGTCATTCTCTGCCTTTTCTTTTTTATAGTTCTCAAAAACTTCCTGTAACTACAGCAAAGAACAGACATTCAAGCGCTTACAAAAGTAAAAAAAAATAGTGATGGCTTTCTACAGTGTTTATTGAAAAATATACCTGCTTAAGTGCAGCCTTAGCCTCCACAGTCTCTACTGACTCAGTCATTGACACTGGAGCAGGAGTTGACATGGCTTGAGGTAAACTTGGGCGCTTTGGAGTAGATGTAAGAGAAATCTCCTCTGGTAATATACCTGAAGCTTTAAAAAAGATAAAGGGAATTTTAAAGGCAACAACTGAATGACTGCTTGCCAAAGCAGAAGATCATCTAACCATACGGAAATAGGGCCAAGAACAATACTGTACTGCTAGGAAAGTCCTGGGCTCTCCTGAGCAATTGAATGATTGTCCATTCTTTATACGCACAGTCTGCTACTAGAACACATGTAGTCACCACTACACAGCAGCCATTATGTAGAAAGCTACTACACAGTGGAAGTGGAATCACATGTCTAAATCCAAATTCACGGGTTTTCCAGTGAGTAAGGGTAAAAGTTGGATATCAGAGCAACAGAAGTTACTGGTATCATTACAGCACTGTTACTTAAAGCTCGTAAGAAACAATTTCATTATTTTTCAATGGCACAGAAACGTGAAGCTTACCTTGCAAAGGAATGATTGCTCCTGTGGTCTGTGCCAACAATATGCGGAACATATCACGCTGACGAACTATAGACTCCACGAGCTGCAGCTGATGATGACGCGATTCACGCAGTTTTTCTAGCTCATTGAGAGCTTCCTCAAGCTGACTCTGAAGCTCTGAAATTCTGAAACCAACAGCAGCTGTTTTCAGTAACATACACAGCGAGGCATACCAAGGTGACACAACCCTTACATTTTGTCACAAGTCTTTTAGCGTATGTTTATTATTATTATTGCATCCTTGACAGTTAAGCAACACTGAGATTTCTGAGCAAACTTACAGGAAAATACGTCTTTGGGCTTACTATTTTCTAAAGACAAAGTAGGCCTCTTCCATGAAAAGGCAGAAGAGAGGTAATTCTATTCGTGTGAATGACTTCAAACAAAAGACAGTAGCATGAACAGAGAATCAGACTAAGAACTTTTAATATGGAATTACATTATCTGTGGGCTTTACAGCTAGTGAATTAGATATGCACATATTCAATGTTTTGTTCAGCTAATGGGAATGAAAACTTAATCTTTTTTTTCAAAACACAGGTCTGCTGTGTGAAATCACATTCACTAGAAGACTGACAAATACTTTTTACTGAATGTCACAAGTTTGAAAAATTTCCACAGAAATCTATTCTGATTACCAAAGGCTAACATTTCAGTGTGTGCTCTCATACCTCTGGGCAACTCTGGATCGAGAAAGTTGGTTTAGGAAGAATTTTTTGGAAGATATTTACATTAGCTGAGTAAAAAATGATGAAAAGAAATTACAAGATATATAGCTATAAAGCCATTTTAATCTAAAACCTGAAGACAATGTTGCTTACTAACAATTTCCCTTTATGAATTACATAGCTGCTCATGAGTGTGTGTGCACTTATGTATCCATATGCGCACAATTACTAACAATCAGAAGCTAAAAACTGAAGAGTGTTTGAATAAATCACTGTTGCTACTTAGTATAAACAGTTTACTAGGAGGAACAGGTAGCTTACTTAGATGACGTCGTTTCTTGCTCCTCTTTTTCTCTAGCCTCTCCCAGCTCCCGAAGAGCCACCAAGAGACGCTGATTCTGCTGCTGAAGTTCTTCAATATTTCTGTAAGAGACTAGGTGTTGAGATATCACTTCAGAAGAGCTACTGATGTCAGCAGAGCTCACTTCTTCATCACGAATCACGTGATTGCCTCTAGCTTCTTCAAGTTCCATTAAAAGCACATGAATCTGAAAGAGAACATTCTAACGTAAGACTTGCAAACACTCAACAGTTCGCTCTGAAAAACAATACATTAGAAATAAAGTACTTGGAAATTAAGTAAAGTTTTTCCTACAACATACATACTACTACAATCAATAGATCCTTCTAAGATAATTACATTATAGAAAAAACAGCATGACAAAAAGGAAACCACATCAAAATCAGACATAGATATTCTGTGTTGAGTTCTGCAAATGGATCACAGGACATTCCAATCAAATGAACACAGAAGTTAGGTATCTGAGTTTTCCATGTCAGATGTTTAACAGTACTATCCCAAAGCGCATTACTCCTATCCAGCTAAACTTACTCTAATTTTGTAAGCAGAAATGTAAATATCACATTGTCCTAAGGAGAAGCTTTTAACACCACTAAGGCTCTTATGACAGCCAAAGTCTACATGGCTGTGGCTGAACACAACTTCCAAGTACGCTTCAGAAATACAGCACCATATTAATAAATAAATTGCAAATAGTACATTTAACCATAGCAACATTTGTTCTACCTGCTGTGCAAGATCTTTTACTTGTATTTCCAGCCTCTGGTTTTCTCTTTCAAGCAGAGAGGCATGCTTATTGGCTTTATCAGCATCCTCCTGCAACCGTTGGATTTCCTGCAAGCATACAAACATTAAGAAACACACAGCAATTAAACTCAGACACGTTTCTTTCCAGAGATAGCAATGCAGAGCGACAGGCCTTGTGAATCAAACTGCTTTATTTCTTTAAAGTTACACTCCAAAGGTTAAACTCCATATATTTAGGAATCAAAAACCACACTGTTTCATGCTGTATTAGTGTATGTATTAAAATCAATGGAAAGTGGGCACCGAAGTCCAATTTTATTTCTTTGGACAAACACTAATCTTTGTTTATAAAGAATGTGACACTCTCAGAAAATCAGAGATTGTAAGTCACCACATTTAAACCTTCCCTATAAAAAATCCTCTGATAAATGTTGTTTCTGTAAAATACTGTGTATAGTCCAATAAATTGCAAGCTAGAAAGTTCAAGAGAGATTTTCCCACAACAAAAGTTGACTAAAAGATCCATTTTATACATTTACTAATAGTCATTAGGATTAAGGAATTAAAAAATCCATTTATTTCCATAATTTTACATGTGCTTTTATTTTATACTGACCTTCATAGCTTGTTCAAGCTTTGCAGACAGACTAGCAACAGCTTTTTGGGAACGCTCAAATTCTTCACGTTGTCGTTTTAAGATTGGTGCTTTGGCTTCTACTTCCTGCACTATTTCATCCAAATATTTATTGATTCTCTTATTCTCCAGCTTTTCCAAAAGCAACTGATCCTGAGTTTCTACATACGCATTGTACAGCTGCAACAAAAGATTTTTTGGAGTTTGGTGGTTGGTTGTTTTTTTTTTTTAATACTTCTGTCCAGACAACTACATAATTCATATCTTAGGGCAATATAATTTTATACAACTCTAATTAATTCAGAGAAACAAGTTGGACTTTTTAAATAAATGTGGGGTTAGGACTCATACCATGGCAAAGCAGTTATCCTTATTGATTTAAAATTGGCAAATTTTTATAGTGCAACTGTATGCAATAAAAGAATTCCACGTAAAATGGACAAATGTTAAGCAAGTTTCAGACAACAGAAATATCAGAACTAGTACCACAAAAGAAAGCAGCAAGCACAGAAGAAAGTAATTTAATGGCTGAACAGAATCACCAATAACAAACAAAATAAAAGTAATAATTGCAAGAATAGAGGTGTAAAAAACCCTCACCTACAATATGTACAACCTATCATTATGTTAATTTTTTCTGCAAGTATAAGCCAAACGCGCAGCAGTACAGATTAAAAGTTTATGTAAATAAGCAAAATAAAGCAAAAAGAAAAGCACCTGCCAAAAATGCATGCAGAAAGAAAGTTTATGTGCACAAAAAACCCCCACAAACCACCATATTTCAGAAAAAGGACCAAAAGACTCCACAAATATTTTCATCTACTAAAGAAAAACTGGAAAGAATGTTGAGAAAAATCTAGCAAAGTCTGCCTCAAATACATGACAAAGTTTCATCAACTTCAGTCAGACGTTACACCAAGTCTGAAACAGTGAATGAAGTCTGCCCTCTTGTATTATTAAATGTATTTCTGTTGGCATTTCAAGGGCCTTGAAATTGGAGTTTCTTCTTCCTTACCTCAGTTAATTTCATTCCAGGCTTCACTACTTTGGCTACTGCTGCAGCAGTGGGAGACATAGCTGCCAGTTCCTCCTCAGACAGTATGGCTCCTGAAGACACAATCCCACCAATTATGTGTTAAAAACTGCAATAATTCCCATCATAAATATTCTTTATTCATATAAAGAATGTCTGTCTTCACACATCTTTCTGTTTTCTAAATACTGTATTTTTAATTACCATTTTAAGTCCTTAAAATTACTGGTTTAAGAGCTTTCTGTAATTATATTATACAGATACACATGCGAGTAACTGGTTTTATATACAATATTCCATGTCATACGTTATCAAGGTCTCTGATGAGTTTAATTTGAAATGCTGGAAAGCTTTTGCTACTAGACTCTTAAAATTTAGGTAATTTCTGAATGTAAGCAATTGAAATAGCTGGAGCAAAGCTTATCATCGGATATCTTAGCAAACTGCAGGAGGTTCACAGTGGCAAAGCGCTTGTTTACTTGCATTAAATTAACGCAGGAAGATAGCAAATAGACCTCATGCCTCTGTTCCACCTGCTCTGCTCTCTCTTTCCTTTAGAAATTACTTCTATGTAGGAAACAAACTCTTGTTTTTGACCAAAAAGTTTAGAACTAGAACAGTGAATACTGAGCAAGATTTAACGTTAAATAGAAATTTAAAGACAGGTTTGTTTTCTGTTGCCTTTTTTTTTTTTTTTAAAGAGGAAAATAAGACAGTTTATAATCCTCACTCTCCTCTCCCCTCTCCAGACAACCATTAAAAGCATGATGATTCAGCCTCAAGGAAATGTTTCCTCTCTCTTTTCTTTGAAAGGTAAATCAGATTAACAGAAGAACTTCAAAAAACATTCTGATAGAAGTGCATTTTCTGGTGGGAAAAAAAAGGATATATTTTCATATACATACACACATGAAAAATCTTCTAAAATTCACGATTAGAAATGACTAAAGATGAATTGAGATGAATGCACTTACTTCCTATAGAAATTCGGATAGTATTTTCATGCAAGACGTTAGAAAGCCAGAGGCTTTATGTATTTTAGTTACCAGTGCTATCCCTACCTTTGCGCTTTGTAGCAGACAGTAAATCATTAGCGTTCTCCAGCTCCTTTTCCAGTTTACTGATTTTCTCTCTCAGTTCTTTTTCCATTACAGCTTTTGACTCTTCCACCTCAGCCAAATGCTCCTGGGTTGCTTTATTAGCTAAAATTAAATGAGACACGCAGTTTGCTGTGTTGCAGTTGGTTTTATATTTTTCTTTTAAAAAAGACCAAAATTTGCATATGTACCTTAAATTTTACTTTAACTTTGCATGATCTGCAGAAGCTCACGTGGAGAAGAAAACTCAGTAGCATGACAGAAGCATGAACTGCTGCCTATCACCTTTGCTTAGAAGAGGGCTAAAATATGAACAGTCTTTCTATCAGTGAAAAGGAATCTAAACCGAGAAACCATAATGGAAGACGTAACTTGCAAAATTAGATCCTCTCAGCAAAATCCAAAGTAAAATTCCAGGTATATTTGAAAATAGTTCTCCCCCCCACCTCCAATTACATTCAACTAGTCAGGGAAAATTTTTGTTAGAAAGTGACTGACGTTTCCACCATCCCACAAGTCTAATAGTTGCTTTCATAACCACTCAACATCTGTTTTTCGTAACAGCTCCGTATCTATTTTTCAATGCATCAAGGTAGTTACAAAAGAGTTAAACCTGCTCAGTTCCATTTGCTGTTTCTCACTGACAGCTTACCTTCACCCGCTTCCTTCAGGAGCTTGTGCAGCTCTTCTACTGCTCCCGTCAGTTCATTGCTCTTTGCCTCCGAGTCATCAGCAGCACTCTAAACAAAAGCATTTTATTTAACCTTTTAGTACACAGCGACTATATTTTTTATAAGAAACCTCAAACTGACCAAAAATTATGAACACGCAGTTTTTGAGTAAAATGCCAGAAGATTCACCTGAACTGGATAATTCTCTTTCCAGTCAGATTAAGTCTCACTTTGATGCAAGCTGCCCACCTGAGAGTAAGATGCGTCAGACGTGGATTTGATACGACATACCCAAATGAAATGTGTGCCCTTTAGCTGCTTTATAGCTGGTGCTGGCTTTGGTCCTTCTCCTCACTAAAGAAAATCTGGAAACACTTTGAGTACTCAATTTTGATCGTTCTGAAAAATTTGGTATTTTTAGGGAATCTTATATAAACAATTTACGTTTCTTTCCTTCCAGTCAGACATCTCACAAGGGCAAGACTGTACAATACTCGATCAATTCTGCAAGTCCATTAGCGATAACTCAAATAAAGTCGATTCAACTTTTTCTAATCAGCGAAGTCGCAGAACAGGTGCCCATGGGAGGGCACTCAACCTCAATGCTTTTAATATCAGGTCAAACAAATGTGTTAGAAGTTACAAGTACATAGCAAACCCTACGTTAAGCAGAAGAAAAACCTTTAAGCCCCTTCAAATCAATGATTTTATTACAAAAGCATGAATGGAGTAAAAAAACCTGAACAACCGAACCAAAACCAAATTAAAAGGTAAACAGCAATGCATTACACTCCAGAAAAGTTAGCTATTGACTTGCTGTTTGATGAAAGGACATCAGTTTACATCTAATCCGACAAAGATATTAATGTACAACTCAGAATTAAGCAGGGTACAACGTTTATGTGTGTATCTATGCAAGAAAACTCAGGAAACAATTCATTAACTTGTGAATCCAATATCTGTAAACTAAAGAGCAATCAGTTGTCCTCTTTAGCTGGCTTTGTCTTAGTCAATACGTTACAGGATATTTTTCACTTTTTGAAACAAAGTGACAAAACAAACAAAAATTACTTGTTTAGATGGTGTTTATTTACACAATACATGACATTCAGCTGTGTCTTAATCACAGAATCCCACACTGGTTCGGGTGGGAAGCAACCTCACAGCCCATCCAGTCCCACCCCCTGCCATGGGCAGGGACACCCTCCACTAGCCCAGGTTGCCCAAAGCCCCATCCAACCTGGCCTTGAACACTGCCAGGAAGCCAGGGGCACCCACAGCTTCTCCGGGCAACCTCTTCCAGTGCGCAACCTGTGCCAGGGCCTCAGCACCCTCACAGGGAAGGATTTCTGCCTCACATCTCATCCAAATCTCCCCTCCTGCAGCTCCAGGCCATTCCCCTTGTCCTGTCACTCCCTGCCCTTGTCACCAGCCCCTCTCCAGCTTTCCTGTAGCCCCTTCAGGGACTGGAAGGGGCTCTAAGGTCTCCCTAGAGCCTTCTCTTCTCCAGGCTGAACAACCCCAACTCTCTCAGCCTGTCTCCATAGCAGAGGTGCTCCAGCCCTCTGAGCATCTTCCTGGCCTCCTCTGGACTCTCTCCAACAGCTCCATGTCTTTCTCGCACTGAGGACCCCAATACTCAGTACTACTAATCAGATCACTACCACTTGCAGTGTTATTTGAAATGAACTTCCACTAACCAAACTCAGAAAAATCGTTTGCATAGTCACACTTTACATACAAACCTTTACCTCCCAATACAACACCGTAAGACATAGCCACATTCAAACGGCATGAAGCCTCACAACAGTGAGCACAAAATTACTATTTTAACTCCTGTTTTGCTTCATCTACAAAATGATCCAAGCAGTGTAAGATTTCAAATGCTGCCTAAGACAGCAGCAAAGAAAACAATATTTTGGATATTTCACAATGTTTTGCAATGGAAGTTAGTCTTCCCCAAATCCACACTTTGTGGGGAAAAACCCCCCAAACTGGCCTGCATTACATTTACTGCTAAGATTCAGCCCCAAGTAATACTAATATATGCTTATAACAGAATCAATAAACTCACCTTATACAAATTGGATAATTTTATGTGGGCGTTCAGTTCATTGTGGAATCTTTCCTCCATACTAGCTTGCTGTTCTTTTGCCTAGTAAATTAAAGAAGAGACAGGGTGGGGGAGCATTCCACTACTTCTATTTCACACATTTTAGTTTTTAAATGTAGAAGTAACCGTAATGCTGTTTCACATATAGTTCAAATTGTCTTACCTCCTTCAGTTTACTCAAAAGGTCTTCCACATGCTTCTGAAGATTTTCATTCGACTGTTTTAAGCTGTTTACCTGTTCCTCCATCCTGGAAACCTGTTCCGAGAATAAATGAGAACAGCATGTATAAATTCGTCTTTCCAGTCCAGTTTATTTTGCAAAATAACCATGTCATTGTTTTTTACTTTAAAAAAAAAACCCAAAAGTTCCATAAAGAGCATAAACGGTTACATTTTCTAAAAGCCCTTGCTCCCATGCATTCAGCAAAATGAAAAAAATCAGAGTCCCCAAATTGCTCCAATTATGCATAACAAAATAAACCCACGAGCCTCAGTGGAGCCAAGCGCCACAAAAACCTGACCAATTGTCACAGCTGTTAAAGAAACTGCCCAGGTACCCAAACAGAAGCTCACCACAGCTGAGTATTTTCAAAACACAGCCATTGATTCTGCCATGTATCTTGTTGCAGGGAAACAAAAACATCACCCTACTTGGCAAAGAATGTTAAGGCAGATCCCTCTGCCCCTCTCTCCTATTAAGAACTGTAGTCCCACACATTTTCATAGTATTATACCATTATACAGCTTTGTTACCCAAAATTTCTAGCTTAGAATAAAATCTTTGACTTTTCTATTGTAGATAATGGTAACTATATATATTCCTTAAAAATCACAAGTTAAAAGAAAGAACACCTCATTATTAATTGCAAAACATTCTCCTTCTTTTTTACTTGAACACAGTTACTAAAGTACTTGGTTTTGTTTAATACAGTTATTCAGAAAGTTTAATTTATAATGGCAAAAGCACTCAGTAATCACAGTACCTCCTCCTTCTTGTTCTCCAGATTACATTTAAGCTCCAAGATTTCATTGCCTTTTTCCCTGGCAGTATGTAGAAGTTCATCTGTTTTGGCTTTCAACTCAGCATTCAGCCACGTGTTTTGATTCTGTAGTAGTTCTTTTTCTTGCTCCAACCTTTTCTCACGGTACTAAAAAGAAAATTGCATAGTGTAATTGTAATGGTTCCATAGAAAATAAAGCTAATCAAAGTATTATGAGCAGAGTAGGAGTAGCAAAAACATACTGTAATTTGGTAAATAGCACTAATTGACAGGCAGTGTTCCTTATTACATTGGTAATAGTCGCTGACCAGTCTCAAATGACAAGAGCTTCTTGAAACTTGAGTTAGTTTCCTCAAAGTTTATGTTAGCTGGGAACATTAACTAGATTAATATCTAGTTAAAGGAAATAAATTAAGGTATCTAAATTTTCCTCCTCTTTTCTCCTTTCCTCCTCTCTTTCAGCTCTTTACGGAGCTTATTCTGCTCACAGAGAAATGGTGCAGGTTCACAAACCATTATTTTTCTCCCCTTCTGGGACCTGGAATCCTTCTTCCTAGTGGGCAGGAGCAGCCGTCACTGCCACAAGTAAGGCTTGGACGTGCTTGCCCAACTTGACGCCCCCTTGCCTTCCAGAAATACATGTCTCACTTCCAGTCACAGCCATCAATAAAATAATTTGTTATTTACAACAGGAGCACACTCGACCTACTTCCAAAGTCAATAATGACAAAATGATGATTACATCACACGTAAACAACTACTTATTAGAACATTAACACGTACTATGCATATAAAGTACTACTCACCTTCATGGAAACATCTGATGTTTGAAGTTCATCCAACTTTAACTGAAGTTTCACCTTTTCTGTGTTTGCTTCTGTAAGCTTTTCATTTAAGCGTTTTACATCCTCTGGAGGAGGGGAATCAGCGTTAAAAAAAAGGTAATTGTATAACAGTTTTAATTACTCAGCTTAACTAAACTGTAAAGCATGAGAGCAAGCAAGATATGACACAATATACAATTACATACATTATAAAATATTGTATTATGTACGTTTTTATATCTACAGCACCAAGCATCAAACTGCTGCGTTTTTCTGCAATTAGTGTATAATTTCCTGCCTTGTTTCCTTTTCTGTAATTACTGTTTCCTGCTAACCCATTATTTGGTACAGCCTACAGAAACGGGATACTCCATACCAGTTCAATTGTTCAAGCACGTCTTTTAGCTAGCAAAATCACATGAAGTATTTTGTTAATATATTCTCGGCTATACCATTTAAATGTTCAACTTCCTGAGATCGTCTTTCACTTGTTCGAACCAAATCTCTCTTTTCAGCTTCCAGTTCTTCTTTTTCTCGACTTAAACGGCTCTGAAAAAAATTGCAAAGGAGCAATAAAGAAATGTGACCAGCTTTCTCTAGCAGTTTATAGTCACTATTTACACTCACCATCACAGAGAAGCATGCTAAACCACAGCGAGTTACCCCAGCCAAAACTGGGCTTTTAGAGCAGGCAGCTGAATCAGCCTAAACCACGTAGCCTGAAAGCATGGCTGAGCCCATTTCTTCTATCACATTGAGGTGTGTAACTCAAATAAATGCAGGTTAATGTACCTTTCTCCTAGTGCCTAATAGCCAACACATTTCAGTGAATGGGGGTTTTTTCCCCATGAATCACTGTGATACCAATGTCCAGCTGGCCCTTTGTGCTTACGTGCAAAATGCCACTATCACATAAGATTAGACAGCAAAGATGAGACAAGGATCACACAGCTTTCCAGACCAGCACGCTGGAAAGATAGTTTTCATGCCTTTGCTTTTCAATTGGCCAGACTGCCACAAGTCTCCCTCTGGTGCTAGCTGTATTTGAATGAAGATTAGAATGAATATTGTTGAACTTAGAGCAGGTGAAATGAACTGAAGAAATCCAAAACAAACAACAGAAACTGGTCAAAACCAAATCTAATTTTAATATTCTTTGAAAGACAGTTTTGATAGTTAAGGCTTTAGTGAAACAGTCTTATTTGGTTAAATAAGAGAGATAACAGAGTAACCAAGGAATGAACACATGTAAAAAATCACTATTAAATCAAAGTCAATACTCTGGGATCATTTACAGGCTACACAACAGAACCCACTTCAGTTAGGCCCAGGTAAGCCCCTCTGGGGAAACCATCCGATCCCTTTTCTCATTGTGGACAAATCCAGCTAGTAATTATGTTTTTGCTTCCTGCTCCAAAACAGTGTTCTGCTGGATCAGTCAGCTGAAGTGACTCACCCTGCAACTCCATGACTTTTGAGCACAATGCAAGGAAAACTGTGCCAGAGTGTGGGAAAGGATGGGAAGAAAACAGAACACCTCTTTCATCGATTTTTGAGGTTCAGCTTAAAGTCACTTCAGAACAGATTTCAGCTAGAATGAAACAATCTATTCAAACTGAAATAAAAGCACCTGTAATTAAGTTTGCGAAAACACCAGCATTTACTTAAAAAACCCACACAATTTTCCTGTACACACGGCCATGTAAATAAGTACATCAGTACATATTTGTACCGATACTGATATAGTTCAGTTTGGAAACTGACTGCATTCTTTGCTGCAATGAGACAGGTGAACCAAAGTCTTTCAACTTATCATCAAACTCTTCCAGTACCTGAAGAGCTGCATTACGGTCCTGAGCAGCTTCAAGTTCTTTATTTTTCTCATTCAGTGACTTCAACTGTTCATCTGTTGGATAAGAAGAAATAGTAGTGAGGGATCTCCACTGCAACATAATGACAGAATTCACTCTCCAAATGCAATTAAGCCAAAAATTTCCCTTAACTAAATAAAAAAAAAAAAAAAGAAGGAGAAGAATTCAAGTCCATACAAATGGACTAGGTAGTATTGTGGCAAACTAATGCAATCCTTAGAGCAGAGGCATTTATTGTGAAGATCAATACATAACCCACTGTACTACTATTACCACAAAAGTCAGAAAACAAGGGGTTTTTTCCCCCATTAGAACAAAAATTTCATTTAAAAAAAGCCAACTTGAACACAAAAGCAAAACATCTCTCTACTTGCAGAAATAACAAATACAGTTGATGGATGGATTTTCAAATCCTATTTAAAACTTAAAGCATTTCAGCATAACATTGGACTAAAGAATTTAATATCCTGTCCAATCTTAAGAGCGTGCAGTTATACTTACGAAGTTTTTTAAGCTCCTCACGGAGAGTTTGACACTCTTGTGTCTCATTTACAAGTCTCTCCTGACTTTGAGCCAGACGCTTTTCCACTTCAAAGTACTGTTGCTCTGCAAAATAACAATGTTATCCCAACTTCACTTAATAAACATATATTCTTCTTTCTCACCTTAATCAAGGATCCATATTAATGGATAGAACTGCATTTATAAAAAAATATCTAAAAATAGTAAGACTACAGTAGAATTTGAAGAAAAAAGTACTTTTGAAGGCAAAAAGATGCATTTCCACATTGAATTAACATTGTTTAAAATACTTTGTTAGCATGGAAAGTGATATGCTTCCAGAAATGATCCATAAAATAACAGCCTAGTTAATTTTAGTAGATCTTTAACATTTTTGATACAGCTAGACAACATTGTATCAGCACAATTATGCAGTGTGATCTCGTCAATTTAAAACTTCTTTTACCTGTAGCATATTCCTACACACATACAATCAAATGCACATAACCCTAGGTATCAAGAGATTTGATTTAGAAAAATCTTTAATGAACACTTCTTAAAATGAGCTCTTGTGCTCTGGGCTGCACATCCCACAGCACTGGAAAAATAATTAGATTTAAATTTTGGTTATCTGAAACAGTAACTGTGTCATAGAGCTTAACTGTAAAATACTTAGTAAAAGCAGAACTAATCTCACCCTTGGGTATAGTGGGCTTCTAAGGAAGTACTGAGGAATTTTTAACTTATATTTTATGACTTAAAATAATGCTGTCCTTCCAGCTGCATATGAGAAGAATGGACCTTAAAGAGACTAACCTGCTTAATCTGTGGGTTACTTTGATTTACATTATGCTTTATTAACTTTGGCAAGATTTTTCTCATGAAAGTCTGAAGGAAAGGTGGAAGTGAAGTACGTCACCTACCTGATAAATTAACTCATATTCACAACCCTGCCCAGCACTTGCATTCATCTATACTCTTCTCTCATTTCTACTCCATTTCTTTACTGGTATTATTTTTCTGTGATCAAGTAACCTCCAAATTAATACAAAAAGGTTGATTTTATCAGGAGCATTTTACAGAAAGGTTATGGCTTTCAAAAAGAAGTATAAACCTAAGACCATTTGGTTGGGTAAACAAGCCATTATTTCTCTTCCACAACAAGGACCAAAGCAGACTGAAGCATATCAATGCTTGTTAAAAATCTGATGAAAAGCCGTTCTTTAAGCCCCTGCTGAATGCAGTTGTAACTCTGAACAGTCCTTTGCAAAAGAAAAAATAAAATCAAGACTCCGCTTGCCATGTGAAAGCGAGAGAAAAAACGCCATCACGTCTGGGCTGAAGGGCCCCTTCCCAGCAGACGCACACATCCCCCTCAGGGCCCCGTCCCGGCCAGGCCACCCCCCCAGGCCTCAGGTAACCCCCTGAAACCGTTTCGAAGACAACAGCGACCCG